TGTATGCCAGTTTGAGGGTTGTATCCTGGTTTGGGGGGGCTGTGTCCTGAGCTGGAGGTTGTATCCCGGGTTGGGGGGCTGTATCCCAGGTTGGGGGGCTGTATCCAGGCTGGGGAGTTGTATCCCGGGTTGAGGGTCTGTATCTTGGCCCGGGGGGCCGTGTCTCGTGCCGGCCACCCCCAGCCCGCGCTGTCCCCGCAGTCATGCTGACGGGAGGGATCGTGGCCGTGGCAGGGCAGTTCCAGGGCTGGTACTTCGCGGCGTATGCTATGTATCCTTCCCGAGAGCATTCCCAGGGCTGGGCTGCGGGAACACCCTGTCCAGACCAGGGTGGGAGGCATGGACCGAGGGGTCACATCCTTCTTCCCCAACTCTGGTCCCAGCTGTGCTTTCTCTGCCCCAACAGCCCCTTTTTGGGGTGAGAGATGTGCCCAGGGATTAATCCCAGCTCGATTCCCCTTTCCTTGACCCCCTGGAAGCGTGGCAGGTGTCCTGGTCTGCCTGTTGGAGTATCCCAGGAGCAAGAGGAAAAAGGGGTCTACTATGGAGAGATGGTAAGTGGTGTGTGTCCCACTCACCCATGGGCTTGGGGGTCCTGGTACCCCCCAAACACAGGGACATGGTGGGAGCAGTGGGATGGGTGCAGAGCTGGATCCCACAGGTGGGTTCCTTGGGGTGCTTCATGCAGGACAGTGTGGATATAGGGGTCCCTCCGGGTTGGGCATCTCCCTTGGGTTGGGGATACCTCCTCTGACCCCCACAATGTCCCTCTGCAGTGGCCAGAAGTACATGACAGCCGTGGTGAAGCTGTTTGGGCCTCTCACAAGGAACTACTACATCCGAGCCGTCCTACACGCAGCGTGAGTGGGGTACAGGGAGGGGAATGGGGTACAGGGAGGGGACTGGGCTCCAGTCCCCCCGAAACCCCACCCTGAACCCCAAATCTCTCACACAGCCTGGCTGTCCCTGCTGGTTTCCTCCTCTCCACCATCCTGGGCACCGTCTGCCTTGGCATCGCCAGCGGCATCTACCTGCTGGTGAGTGCAGAGTGGTTTCAACTCTGACACCCCTCATGGCTTTGCAGGCAGCAGTGCGTGGGGAGGAGTGGACACCCATCGAGCAGAAGCCCAGGGAGAGGCCACAAGTGGGAGGCACCATCAAGCAGCCCCCCAGCAACCCCCC